ACCCAGGAGGCGGAGGTTGCGGTAAGCCAAGATCGCGCCATTGCACTCCAGCCTGGGTAACAAGAATGAAACTTTGTCTCAAGAAAAAAAAAAAAAATACAATTTAGCTGAGCGTGGTGGCGGGTACCTGTGATCCCATCTACTTGGAGGCTGAGGCAGGAGAATCGCTTGAACCTGGGAGGTGGAGGTTACAGTGAGCCAAGATCACACCACTGCACTCTAGCCTGGGCAACAAGAGCAAAAACTCCATCTTGGGTGGGGGGAAAAAAAAAGCCAGGCGTGGTGGCATGTGCCTATAATCCCAGCTACTCAGAAGGCCAGAGAATCACTTGAACCCAGGAGGTGGAGGTTGCAGTGAGGGAGATCTTGCCACTGCACTCCAGCCTGGGCAACACAGTGAAACTCCAAAACAGTGAAACTCTGTATTTAAAAAAAAAGAAAAGATACATTTAAGTCTCTTGGCCCCTAATATTCCTTTGCTACATGTGGAAAAGTTGTTCTTTTTCACCTTTGAGTGACAGTGGCAAAAGGGTACCCAAGGTCTATCGTGATTGAAATAGGTTCCCAGGCCAGCTGTGGTGGCTCACATCTGTAATCCCAGCACATTGGGAGGCTGAGGCGGGTGGATCACCTGAGGTCAGGAGTTTTGAGACTAGCCTGGCTAACATGGTGAAACCCCACCTCTACTAAAAATACAAAAAATTGGCCAGGTGTGGTGGCAGGCACCTGTAATCCCAGCTACTCAGGAGGCTGAGACAGGAGAATCGCTTGAACCTGGGAGGCAGAGGTTTCAGTGAGCTGAGATCACGCCACCGCACCCCAGCCTGGGTGACAGAGCTAGCCTCCGTTGAAAAAAGAAGAAAAAAAAAAGGTTCCCAAATTTTTCACTATAGGCACTTACAAAAGGTATCAAAAAAGGGTGTGCTGGGCATGGTGATTGATGCCTATTAATCCCAGCACTTTGGGAGGCCAAGGTGGGTAGATCACTTGAGGTCAGGAGTTCGAGATCAGCCTGGCCAACATGGTGAAACTCCATCTCTTTTAAAAATAGAAAATTAGGCCGGGCGTGGTAATCCAAGCACTTTGGAGGCCAAGGTGGGCAGATCACCTGAGGTTGGGAACTCAAGACCAGCCTGACCAACTTGGTGAAACCCCATCTTAAAAAAAAAAAAAATTATAATAATAAAAAAAAAGAAAATTAGCTGGGCGTGGTGGCATATGCCTGTAATCCCAGGTATTAGGGAGGCTGAGGCATGAGAATCGCTTGAACCCGGGAGGCAGAGGTTGCAGTGAGCCAAGATCATGCCATTGTATTCCAGCCTGGGTGACAGAATGAGACTCCTTCTAAAAAAAATTTAAAAAAAAAAAAGCCAGGCATGGTGGCTCATGCCTATAATCTCAGCACTTTGGGAGGCCAAGGCAGGCAGATTGCCTGAGGTCAGGAGTTCGAGACCAGCCTGGCCAAAATGGTGAAACCCCGTCTCTACTAAAAAGACAAGAATTAGCCAAGTGTGGTGGCGCATGCCTGTAATCCCAGCTACTTGGGAGGCTGAGGCAGGAGAATCGCTTGAACCTGCAAGGCAGAGGTTGCAGTGAGCCAAGATCACACCATTGCACTCCAGCCTGAGCAACAAGCACAAGACTTTGTCTCAACAACAAAAAAAAAAGGTGGGGGGCTGGGAGAATTGAGTGAAGGCAGATATACTGAGAAAAGAGAGATTTGGAAAAGGGATGAGGGAAATGCATCTTTCTAGGCTGAGGAGAGTAGGGAAGCTAGGAGGACCAGTGGATGGAAGGGAACAGATTTACCTGGAGAAGCAGCTGGAGGTCCAGTGGTAGGCTGGGAAGCTGAAGGGTTGCTGTCATTCTGCACCTGAAGGCATAGATTACATATTCAGATCCTGCTCCCTCCCATGCTTCTTGTCTTGATCTGCCCTCCTTTCCCACCTTTGTAGCCACAGGACTCACCGCCTTGTTGGGTGCCTGCTGGGTGCTATACTCTGGGTTTGGCTCACTGAAGTTAGGAACCTCAGAATAAACCATACAGAATCTGTAAGGGAAGAAAGCAGCTAAAGCTGTGGATTCATCCTCTGGGCCATTGCCGGAGGCCTCAGAAAAGTCCAGATAGGTTGGGTGTGGTCACTCACACCTGTAATCCTAGCACTTTGGGAGGCAGAGGCAGGAGGATCACTTGAGCCCAGGAGTTCAAGACTAGCCTGGGCAACACGGTGAAACCCTGTCTCTACAAAAAATACAAAAAAAATAGCAATGTGTGGTGAAGCATGCCTGTAATCTCAGCTACTTGGGAGGCTGAGGTGGAAGGATCAGCTGACCCGGGAGGTCAAGGTTGCAGTGAGCTGAGATCATGCCACTGCACACTCCAGCCTAGGTGACAGAGACTGT